ACCATCAGGTCTGGAGTCGAGCGCGCTCTGTGACGCACCACCGCCCCCCGTGTGCCAGCCAGCGGCTAAGTGCCCGGGCTCTCTGTCCACAGCAGGGCGTGCCAGCCTGAGTGGACACCATGATCCACACACCAATGTGGCCCAGCAGACAACATGGCAGAACGCGCCAGCCAGGCTCCTCCTCATCAACACACAGGGCTCTCCTCGGGTGGAGAAGAGGGAGAGGCAAAGGCGTCCAGGCTCAGAAAGCCGGGTAGCAGTGTCCAGACGGCCAGCCACATGCCGGAGCAGCTCCAGCCCCAACCCTCAGCATCTTGGTCATTAAGTGTCCTCCCAGGGGCCAGCGCTGTGCTGTAGGTTAAGTTTCTGCCTGCAGTGTTGGCATCCCATACAGGCGCTGGTTCAAGTCCTGGCTGCTCCACTTCTGATCCAGCTCCCTGCTAACGTGCCTAGGAAAGCAACAGAAGGTGGCCCAAGTGCTTGGGCCCCTGCACCAACATGGGAGACCCAGAAGAACCTCCTGGTTCCTGGCTTTGGACTGGCCCAGCCCCAGCCATTGCAGCCATTTGGGGAGTGAACCAGCAGATAGAAGATCTCTCTCCCTCCCTCTCCCCCTCCCTCTCCCCCTCCCCCTCCCTTTCCCTCTCCTTCTCCCTCTCCCCCTCCCTCTCCCCCTCCCCTCCCTCTCCTCCTCCATTGCTCTCTCCCTCCCTCCCCCTCCCTCTCCCTCTCCCCCTCCATTGCTCTCTCCCTCCCCACCTCTGTATCTCTGCCTTTCAAATAAATGAACAAATCTTTTGAAGACAACGTGCTCCCAGGAGGCTGTGAGAACAGGCGGATGGCAGAGCAAAGGGCTACAGCCTTCCAGGTCCTCACCAGCCTGTCCCACGACACTCACAAGAATCTCCCTACACGGACGCTGGCCTGTGTCCTCGGGGCTACACAACTCTGCAGTCTGAATGTTTGGTTCCCCAAATTCAGAGACTTACATTTTCACCTCCAAGGTGGGGGTGCCAGGAGGTGAGGTCACACAGGTCCAGTGCCTGACAGAGGAAGCTCCAGAGAGCTCCTGTGGCCTGCACCTGGGAGGACACAGAGACAGGAGAAGGACCTGCCAGCGCTCCACCTCGGACTCCAGCCCCCGAGCTGTGACGGGGAGGCGCAGTGGAGGAGCTGCCTGTGTGAGGTCCGGCCCCACGGGGAGGCTCACTGCAGCCTCAGAGTCCTTGTAAAGCCAAAGTTCTACCTAACGACACGTGAGGATGAGTTCCAGCTCACACGCGGCTGCCTGAGGCGCTCTCCCGTCAGGCAGCGTCACGTACAACAGGAAACAACACAGAAACGTTTCACGTCCACATCTACCACCTGCTGCCCGTGACTTCCCTGAAAGCAGAAAGAGCCCCGAACGCAGACCCACTCCTGGAGGCAGCAAAGTGCACGTGCACTCGCCCTTAACGCCCACAGGGACAGGGGCCCGTGCAGTCAGGCGATGGGGAATGAGGCGCTGTCCAAGCCCCCACACACGCACACGCAAGAACAGCGGCTCTGCCTGATGAGGTCAGCGCGTGCTGGAGGCTCCCAGCTTCGCCTCTGTAATCCTTCCAGCAGAGAAGAGCATTCTAGGAAAAAGCCAAAAACTCCTCATAACCACACGTGAACAGGAGGGGAAACAAGAAACCACAAGGTACCACACAAGAGCGCGGCAACACTCTCCGAAGGACATGACTTCTCCCGGGAGGACGGGAGAGATCAGCTGCAAGAGGGCTGTCTGCACCCTCATTTCACAGCTAAGCTGCAGTTCGTGAAAGGCGTCCACCACTCGCAGGGACACTTGCTTCTGCACCCCAAGCATCCAAACCAGCGTTGGGCGGATCTGACAAAATCTCAGCGCGCTCGTGTTCCAGTCCCCTTCCAGACCAAGTCCCACAGCTCTGCCGTGAACCGGACAAGAGCAAGGGCAAGCAAACGGACCCGACACTCGAAATGCCGACAGGCCGTTCTCCAAACACCAAAAAGGCCCACTTTTACCAAAGAGCGTCACACACCACAAACTCGAAAGTTCGGTGAACAGAGAAATCTTTTTCTGGAATTTCACAACAGACAAGTGGAGGCAGCAAAGGCACGGGAAGGGGCAGATGGTGGTTAGCACGGGAGCCACCAGCTACAGCGCCCACAGCCCACACCAGAGGGCCTGGCTCAACTTCCTGCTACTGCAGCCCGGGAGGCAGCACGAGGCCCATGGGGGGAGATCTGGACTGAGTCCCCGGCTAGGTTTGTTGTGGTTATTTGGGGAGTGAGAAGATGCCTCTCAATTAAATTTATTTTTCAAGGATTATATTTATTTATTTGAGAGGTACAGACAGAGGGAGATCAGAGAGAAACGTCCTCCATCCACTGGTTCACTCTCCAAATGGCCTCAATGGCCAGGGCCGAGCAGATCTGAAGCCAGGAGCCAGGAGTCAGAAGCTTCTTCAGGGTCTCCCACGTGGGCGCAGGGGCCCAAGCACTCACGCCACCTTCCAGTGCTCTCCCAGGCCATGGCAGAGAGCTGGATCGGAAGAGGAGCAGCCGGGACTAGAACTAGCATCCCACCCCAAATGGGATGCTGGTGCCACAGAGGGAGGCTCAGCCCACTATGCTACAGCACCAGCTGATAACAATATTTTTAAATGTAGCCTTTACAATATTAAAGAAACACATGAGATTCATTTATCTTCATGACAGAAAAGTTTTAACTGAAGAATGGCAATATTCGGTAAATTTAGTCAACTCTGGCTGAACTCCGTTATCTACAGGCTCTCAGACTCCAGGAACGTGAATGCAAGGCTACTTAACGTTTCAAGAAAGATATTTTAACCTTAGCAACACTGATCTTCGAATAAATTTCACATGTCTTGATAATAAAGCATGTAGAAGTTTTAAGGCCATTCATGGGATTTCAGCCTCTGAAGTCCACGTGCTGGCCAGTCCCCTCCCACCTGCTGGGCGGGCACCTGGCCCGGCAGTCGAGCCTCCGCTGGGATGCCCACAGCTCGCAGGCAGCGCTGGGTTCAAGGCCCTGCTCTGCTTCCAGTCCCAGCTTCCTGCGAATGCACAGCCGAGAGGCAGCAGTGAGCGATCAGCACTTGGCTCCCTGCTGCCCACGTGTTGCGGCAACTGAGGAGCGAACCAAAGAACAGGAGCTCCGTCTGTGTGCATCTCTCTCTCCGCCTCTCAGACAAATAAATGAAATTTCAAGATACAGAAAGGACCCATCTCCTCTCTAGATTCACAACGTGACTTCTTTCGCTTTTTCAGTGGCGCTGTGTCAGGTTCAGATCAGCAGGTGGTGGTGGAGCTCACTTCAGGCACAGCTGCCACCACAGGCAGACAGCGAAACTGGAACTGCGACTGCACTCACGGCCAGACAGCGTAACTCACTCACAGGCAGACAGCGTAACTGGAACTGTGACCGCACTCACGGAGCTCCAGAGCCCAGTGCTTTGACCAAACAAAGCCACCAAACCAGACAGGTACTCCAGCACGCCACATCAAAGCACCAGCTACAGTGTCTCCTGGACCTGCACTTGAGTTTAAGGGAAATCCTGACCCTATATACACCACAGGTATCAGGCTAGCCATCATTTTAACAGTTAGTGACTCAGTTATCCATTTCACTTGGAAGGCTGGCAATAGACGAAGTCTAATATCAACCTCACACTCAGCCTAATCTTGACCAAGCAGTGAATCTAGTAGCCGGAGACGCCAGCTCACACACACAGAGCAGTGCGCCTGTTCACACCCAGCCCCACCTCCTCCCGCTCCTCCCAGAACCAGGACTCAGGAATTGCGCACAGAGCTCGTTCAACAGACGCTGCTTTGTTTTTGCAGTCTACCATCATTGCAGCCTCGCAAAGAAACAGTAAAATTCCCCACAGGTCCCTCCGTCAGCTGGGGGCCTGCTGCACGGTGTTTACAACGTGTTTGCTCTGCTCGTTTGCAGCCAGAGGCACGTGCAGAGATGCCCAATCGCTCCCCCAACGCCCGCCCAGCTGGAATCCCCCATAGCACTGCACAGACCTGGAAAACGTCTGCCCTGACAGCAGGCGTCCCAGTGAACAAGGCTGAGGGGACATCAGGACAAGCACCCGCCTGCACCCCTGAGGGCCTGGCAAGCCTGGGACACCCCGCCCCGAGCCCCTGGATCTGCCTCCCTGCACAGCCACCAGACGGGCCTCAGGGACCGTCTTCCCGTGGCCCCTGCTCTCCCGGTGGCCCCTGCACAGACTTCCCAGGGCCCCAACAGCTACAGCTGCACTCTTCCAGACTGGCTTCAGCAGCCCAGATCCCACGCCCCCCGTCCCATGGGAGCTGCTCACAGACCTCACCAATTATCCCACACAGGGCACTACCAAAAAGAAGTTCAAAGTCAGCCTGGAAAACTGCTCAACTGTGGATAACAAAGTCTCTCTAAACAAAACACAGAATTCACTTAGTAAAATGAAGCCCTTAAATTATAATGTAGATTTCAGAAGGCATTTAAAATTAAGCCCTTAACGTACAAAGCCTCCCCAAACATACTGAAAATCAAAATTGCAGTTTTAGTCAAAACCAAACAACAACAGTTTTGTTCACAAGTCCTAGATGCTCTTCTGGGAACAAATTGTCCTCTGGACTGACCGACTTTGGGACTTCAAACTCGTCGAAGGGCAGCCCCCTCTCAGCCCAGGGCTGTGGACAGCACGGCCTGGCTGCCACGCCTCCCAGCATTCAGTGCAGCCCCAGACCAGCTCGCTGGGAGCGGCCAGGTACCACCGGTAAAGCCGAGGATGGGCCCGCAGAATAACCCAGGACCAGAGTACAGAAACGGATGCAATGTGGTAACAAGACGTCAAGGTTAGAATGACTCATGACCAGAATGAACCGCGACGGTTACAGAACCGCGTCTTACATCTGCGCTCGTCAAACAAGTGAAGCACACGAGTTTACAAATGACGTGTATTGTCCAAAAACTCACTTACTTGATTTTGACAAATCTGATGGACAGGCCGCGAATGGGCTTCAGCTATCACCGCGGCACTGCAGCCCGCGTTGAGGTCGAAGACTTCCAGGCTCCTGTCCCGGGCAGCCGTGAGGACGATGTCTGCACATTCAGTTAGGAGGTCCTCTTGCTGACCATGGCCCGTGGAGTAGACAGCATCACTGCCCATTATTATTAGCATAGCTTTTTTAAAATTTTATTTTATTTATTTATTTAAGAGGTAGAGTTACAGACAGTGAGAGAGACAGAGAGAGAGAGAAAGGTCTTACATCCACTGGTTCATTCCCTGGTTGGCCACAATGGAGCTGCACCTATCCAAAGCCAGGAGCCAGGAGCTTCTCCTGGTCTCCCACACGGGTGCAGAGGTCCAAGGACTTGGGGCATCTTCCACTGCTTTCCCAGGCCACAGCAGAGAGCTGGATGGGAAGAGGAGCAGCCTGGAGTAGAACCAGCACCCATATGGGATGCCAGTGCCGCAGGCAGAGGATTAACCTACTGTGCGACAGCACCACCCCGAACACACATTCGACATTCGAAGACTCACAGATGACCAAAGATTTCCCAGGCTCCCAGCAGTCCTGACCTGAACACAGCTCCTCCCCATCCAACTCCAGGAGGGCAGGGGGCTGCTGAGGCAGACAGGAGACTGGGCAGGTGCACACAGGGTGGCAGAGACCCAGAGTTCACTGTCAGATACATGGTGTTTGAGACACCAAACTGCAGCTGAATGTTAGGTATAGGCTAGGAAACAGTGTGAGCCCAGGTGAGGGTAGAGCAAACAAATGAGAGACCACGTGCACAGCCCACAGCATGGGCGACACCACCCAGAGCAGGCCACATGCACAGCCCACAGCGTGGGCGACACCACCCAGGGCAGGCCACGCGCACAGCCCACAGCGTGGGCGACACCACCCAGGGCAGGCCACGCGCACAGCCCACAGTGTGGGTGACGCCACCCAGAGCAGGCCACGCGCACAGCCCACAGCGTGGGTGACGCCAGCCAGGGCAGGCCACGCGCACAGCCCACAGTGTGGGTGATGCCAGCCAGAGCAGGCCACGCGCACAGCCCACAGCGTGGGTGACGGCAGCCAGGGCAGGCCATGCGCACAGCCCACAGCGTGGGTGACGGCAGCCAGGGCAGGCCATGCGCACAGCCCACAGCGTGGGTGACGCCACCCAGAGCAGGCCACGCGCACAGCCCACAGTGTGGGTGATGCCAGCCAGGGCAGGCCATGCGCACAGCCCACAGCGTGGGTGACGGCAGCCAGGGCAGGCCACGTGCACAGCCCACAGTGTGGCCTGTGGTTGGTGTACAAGGACACCACTAAACTGATGCTTAGCCCTGAATGCCACTGGCAAGCTCTGAGGAAAGTATGCCCTGTGCTGATAGCAATGGACGTGAGAGTAATCGTGAGAGCACACTTCTGATGTGGTTTCACAGACACTCACTACAAAAATCACACATTTCAAACTCAGATATACTCAGACACTTTCAGTAATCCTGAACGTTCAGCTATTAAGCCCTTCAGCAGAATTCAGCTGAGACTAGGGTGGGCATTTGGTGCCTCTTGAGACACCCATGTCCCACACTGGGGCGCCTGGGTTCCAGGCCCAGCCCCACTCCTGACTCCCGCTCCCCGCAATGCACACCTTGGGAGGCAGTGGACAGTAGCTCGAGTCGTTGGGTCCCTGCCACCCACACAGGGGACCCAGATGGAGACGATGGCTTCAGCCTGGCCCAGCTCTGGCTGCTGTGGGCATTGAGGGAGTGAACCAGCGGATGCAAGACTTCTCTTCAAAACAAACAAATAAATAAAAAATTGAAACAAAGAATTTAAATTAGAGCTATCTTGGAATAAATTAGAACTTTTAAAGTAAATTCTTAGACTGGGAGTTTTACTGCTAAATAAATTAAAATCAGTGCTTTTTAATGAAAAGAAATGTTAGCCACAAAAACTCAAAAATTAAAGTTCTGGCCTGAATGTCATATGCCACTGGAGGGAAAGGCTGCTTTGCCAGTCCAGCCTCCACCTTGGAAGGAGACTGCCGAAGGGACGAGGGCTGCCCTCGGTGTGGGGGACGGCGTATTCAGGACACCCAGGCAGGCATCACCATCTCCCATCCAGTGAGGCAGGCAGGAGCGCCGGTCGGCTCACCCTGCCGATCGGCATGAGCTCCATGCCCCCAGGTTTGTCTCTCCGAGGCACTTCCCACACTACCAGGAAACCAGCACAGGTACACCGAGGCCCGTGGGGCGAGCACAGCGGAGCAGTGGTGAAGCCACCGTTTGGACACCTGCATTTCACACTGGACGCTGTTTGAGCCCCTCCAGCTTCCTAAACTACCCTAGGGAACAGCATGTGCCGACTCAGGCACCTGGGTCCCTGACGCCGCGTCAGAGACCTGGAAGGAGCTCCTGGCTCCTGGCTGCAGCCCGGCCCAGCCCTCGCTGCCGTGGGCATTTGGGGAGTGAGCCAGTACACAGAAAATCCGTCTCTCTCTCCCTCGCGCCCTCCCTCTCTCTCTTCTGCCCTCCTACTCTTCCTCCCTCCTCACCCCTTCCTCTGCCTTTCAGATTAAAACAAACATTTTTTAAAAATCGTGCAAACGACCACAAACTCTGTGAGAAGAGGTGTGAGCTCCCGGGCCAGCCCGGCCGGGGCCCCCTGGGCCTTCACGTAGGCCTAGCGCTCAGCACGTGATCCCAGAGGATCCAGGAAAGGATACGGGAGTGGAAGTCATTCACTGCTGACAGACTGGTCACGTCCGCGCCGCTGCCCACAGAGAGCCTGTGCACGGGCTTCACCGAGCTCCGGGGCTTGTATCTGGAGAAACAGAGACACGCAGTCACTGCGCTCCCTCTCGCTGCAGCTACACGCTGCGCTTCCAAGAGGACTGCAGGACGACCCCTACCCTGAGTCATCAACTGTGACCTGAGGGGACTGCAGGACGACCCCCACCCTGAGTCATCAACTACACCACCAAGAGGACTGCAGGACGACCCCTACCCTGAGTCATCAACTGTGACCTGAGGGGACTGCAGGACGACCCCCACCCTGAGTCATCACTGTGACCTGAGAGCACTGCAGGACGACCCCCACCCTGAGTCATCAACTGTGACCTGAGAGCACTGCAGGGTGACCCCCACCCTGAGTCATCAACTACACCATCAAGAGGACTGCAGGAGACCCCCACCCTGAGTCATCAACTACACCACCAAGAGGACTGCAGGAGACCCCCACCCTGAGTCATCAACTGTGACCTGAAGGGACTGCAGGACAACCCCTACCCTGAGTCATCAACTGTGACCTGAGAGCACTGCAGGACGACCCCCACCCTGAGTCATCAACTGTGACCTGAGAGGACTGCAGGACGACCCCTACCCTGAGTCATCAACTGTGACCTGAGAGCACTGCAGGACGACCCCCACCCTGAGTCATCAACTGTGACCTGAGGGGACTGCAGGACGACCCCCACCCTGAGTCATCAACTGTGACCTGAGAGGACTGCAGGACGACCCCCACCCTGAGTCATCACCTGTGACCTGAGGGGACTGCAGGACGACCCCCACCCTGAGTCATCAACTGTGACCTGAGGAGACTGCAGGGTGACCCCTACCCTGAGTCATCAACTGTGACCTGAGAGGACTGCAGGACGACCCCCACCCTGAGTCATCAACTGTGACCTGGGAGGACTGCAGGACGACCCCTACCCTGAGTCATCAACTGTGACCTGAGAGCACTGCAGGGTGACCCCTACCCTGAGTCATCACCTGTGACCTGAGAGGACTGCAGGGTGACCCCTACCCTGAGTCATCACCTGTGACCTGAGAGGACTGCAGGGTGACCCCTACCCTGAGTCATCACCTGTGACCTGAGAGGACTGCAGGGTGACCCCTACCCTGAGTCATCAACTGTGACCTGAGAGCACTGCAGGGTGACCCCCCACCCTGAGTCATCAACTGTGACCTGGGAGGAAGCATGAAGCGCGCACCTTAACTTCCCTTAGGGGAAAACATTAGTTTTCCACCAGGGAACTCAAGTATTTCTTTTAGGAAAATTTTATAAAAATAATATAATTTCATAAAGCCAGAAATAACTTTCCTACCCCTGAGAGAGAAAACCTGTCTCCGAGTGTGAAAACAACTATGCACAGGTAAGCAGCCACTCCGCTAGTGACAAATCACCTGCAAGTCTACTGAAGCCTAAACTTCCATCATTTTCCCAAGGACAGCAAAGCGGATAGCTGGTCCCAGAAGGCACAGCCTGCACTGCTAGCTATCACCCGCGTAGGAAACAGACCGAGCAGCCATGGCCGGACACGGTGTGGGTCTGGAGGGGCACAGCTGTGTGCAGATGAGGAACACAGGCGTGGGAGAAGGGGCAGACCCTGCCCGCAGGAGAGGCCAGGCCAGGCAGACCTTGGCGCCAGCCCAGAAGGGGCGGAGTGAGGACTCGGGGTGCAAGGTGGAGAGGACTCTCCTGGGTGACATCAGGGCCTGAGGAATCGAGACAGCTGAGATGACAGGGGCCACAAAGCCGTCATTGGTGTCACAGCTTCCCTGGGGGACGCTCCGTGGGCTGAGGGGCTTCAGAGGATGACCCAGTGTCCACACGGGCTTCGGGGAGGGATGGCACAAGAAGACGGAGAGGGCCGGGGCCACGGCTCACTAGGCTAATCCTCCACCTGCAGTGCCAGCACCCTGGGTTCTAGTCCCGGTTGGGGCGCTGGATTCTGTCCTGGTTGCCCCTCTTCCAGTCCAGCTCTCTGCTATGGCCCGGGAATGCAGTGGAGGATGGCCCAAGTGCTTGGGCCCTGCACCCCATGGGAGACCAGGAGGAAGCACCTGGCTCCTGGCTTCGGATCTGCGCAGCGCCTGCTGCAGCAGCCATTTGGGGGGAGAACCAACGGAAAAGGGAAGACCTTTCTCCCTGTCTCTCTCTCTCTCACTGTCTAACTCTGCCTGTCAAGAAGAAGATGGAGAAACAAACCCAAGCCAGGTCTTGGGGAGCACCGGGAGGAAACACCCAAGCTGAGGACAATGACAAACGCCTGAGAGCTCACCGGAGGACGAGCAAAGATGCAAAATGTACTCAATCTGGAGAAAGAGGACCTCCCCGGACATCGGGGTGGGGCAGCACTGTGCCACCCGGGAGGCCCGCACGGGGTGCAAAGGCCACACGCGGCCGTTCTCCCTGCAGGCCTCCGTCAACAGAATCAGCCCCACCTGTAGGACCCGTGTTTTCTCACATGGGCTGCAGTTCTTGATCCTCTACCGCATGGCTGGGCCCAGCTGGCCGGGTGCCTCCCAGACCAGGAAGCATCCACCCGCCCTGCGGGCAGTTTAGCCTGAGCTGGGACTGCAGCACGGATCACGCACACCAGCGAGTGCCACACGCACCCCACCCCCAGGAGGGCGGTGCCCCCGCCTTAGGTGCAGACGCCGCGTCACAGCCCCTGCTGAGGACTGGGACACCATGCCCGGGCACAGGGCGGCTGCCTGCTGGGCGCTGCCTCAGGCCACGCCCCCCTGCTCTGATTGGGTCCCTCATGACCACAGTCGAGGAGAGCTGTGATCCCTTGGCCAATCCAGGTCATTTGATGACTGTACATCAGAATAAAACCAGTGTTCTAAAGTGACATCTGTTCTCATAACAGTAGTGTACTGTGTACGAGTAAAATGGAAAAAAATGTAATCGTCTTACATCATCTTGTTAACATTCGGATGAATATTTTATATGCCTCCAGGTATTCTTCACACAAAATCAGATTCACACTAAAACAGATCATTTTCCATTTAAAGCACATCAAAAGTATTTCTTGGAATCGTTAAAATAACGTTTAGTGTTTGTACTGAATTTTACACTCTGAACACGCCGCCATCTGACCATGTCTGAGGCTGGACACAAGGATGTGCAATACCTATCTTTTCCCAGGTCTGTGATAATTTTCTCCAGATAGATGTCCCAAGGAAGAACCGGGTGAGAGATGGGAGTGTCCCTGGCACTGTCTCCCGCCTGGGGCCAACAGCCCTCTGAGGCTCATGCTGCAAAGCCCGAACACCTCCTTTTGAACCTCACAACACGGCCGTCTCCCCGATGAAAGTCGGCCATCAGGAGGAACGTGTGCATGACCGTGGGCTTCTCCTTGCATCCTTTCAATGGCCAGAACTGCCAGGTACTCTGCATTCTCCCTGGGATCAGAATACTCCTTCGTCATCCCAAGTTTTCAGCCAGCTTCCCATCGAAGAACTCACACCTCATTACTGATTTGCAGATCTGTTCCTTGTAGATGACATTCGTCATTCATAAATGTGTCAAAGACAATAATTACATTCTCATTTAATGTTCAATTATTTATGGTCATTTTTGATATAATGGAACTATTTCTTCTCCATCAAACACATCCGTGTCTTCCTGGAGGATTTACACACTTCAGCAGCAGGCACTCGGGAAACATGCCCAACTCCAGCTAACTGTCATGGACCGGACAGATGGGTGCACTTTACTACCTCCCAAAACCAAATAAAGTGGCTATAAAGTGATTTTATTCACAGCAAAATCCACAGGATTAAAAAGAATAGGAGGCAAAAGCAAGAAAAAGTGAAATTTTAAATCTTAGAAACAAAGGGATTTCTGCCAACTGATAAGGAAAACCTGAGAACTCAGTAAATACCCGAAACTTCCCCTCCCAAAGAACAGAACAAAACGACGCTCAGGACGACGGCCGTAAGGCTCTCCTCCAGCAAGAGGTCGTGGCCCGGGGGCCCCTCCTCCACCCTGGGAAACTGTCTGCACCTGAACCGCCCCACACAAACGGGGGGCTCGCTCTGAGGACCCAGCAGGGACAGGTGAAGGCGGGGGTTCCAGGCCAGCCCACCTCTCAAGTGAGGGGATTCCATCTGCTTTTTTTTTAATAAAGATTTATTGATTTGAAAGTCAGAGTTACAGAAAGAAAGGGAGAGAGACTAGAAAGAGAGTGAGATATTGATCTTCCATCCTCTGGTTCACCCCCAGATGGATGCAATAGCCAGGCTGGGTCAAGCCAGAGCCAGGAGCTTCATCTGGGTCTCCCATGTGCACAGCAGGTGTCCAAGCACTGGGGCCATCTTCTGCTGCTTCCACAGGTGCATTAGCAGGGAGCTGGATCAGAAGTGGAGCACCCACATGGGATGCCAGCATCGCTGGTGGTGGCTTAACCCACTGTGCCACAACACCGGCCCAACCTACAGCTCTCTGCAGAAAAATTGCAATGGGCTTAGCCAAGCCATGGAAAGCCCACTCTCCTGGCCAAAGGCTGGCCTAAGACTGGGCATAGAGTCCACCCAGGGCACATGAGCCATGAAATGAGCTGTGGTGAGAGAAACCTCACCCCCTGGGTGACAGGAAAGAAACAGATCTGCCACAGTCTCCTTGTTCATTTTTCACTTTGTTGCCTGGGCTGTTGGGGTCACATCCACGAAATCCAAAAGCCAGTCCAAGGTTTTCCCCACGTGTACTCACGGCTTTATAATCTCAGGTCTCACTCATTTCCAGTTCATTTTGTGTCCGTGTCATTCTTTTGTGTGTTGGCACCTGCTGAGGAGACAACCCTCTCCCTGTGGTGTGGTCCCAGCTCCGTGTGGAAGATGGGAGGCTGGCTACACATGCACTTAGCTCTGTTCACCGGTTTATGTTTCTCTTCCTGCTGGGACCACATTGTTTTGATTGCTGTAGTTTTGTGATTAAAATCTGAAGTCACCAAATATGACACCTCCAACTTTGGTTTTCTTCCTCAAAATCGCTTTGGCTATTTGGAGTCAGGATTATTTTTAATTTCTAGAAGAAATGGAATTTTGATTGGGATCACATGGAATCAAGGGTTTGCTTCAGACAGCATTGACATTTTAATATATTAAGTCTTTCAATCCATGAACATGGGCTTTCTTATCATTTGTGTCTTCTTTAATTTCTTCCATTAATGTTCTGTAGTTTCCAGTATGGAAGTTTTTTTTTTTTTTTTACTTCCTTGGTCAACTTTAGTCGTAGGTATTTTATTGTAAATAAGATTGTTTTCAGATTTCCTTCTAAGATAGTCTGTTACTATATAGAGATGTAACTGATTTCTGCATGCTAGATTTGCATCCTACCACTGTACAAAGTTTACTTTCTAGTACCAACAATTCTACATCACACAAAAAGCTTCAGCCGGCGCCGCAGCTCACTTGGCTAATCCTCCGCCTGCGGTGCCGGCACCCCAGGTTCTAGTCCTGGTTGGGGAGTCAGATTCTGTCCCGGTTGCTCCTCTTCCAGTCCAGCTCTCTGCTGTGGCCCGAGAAGGCAGTGGAGGATGGCCCAAGTGCTTGGGCCCTGCACCTGCATGGAGACCAGGAGGAAGCACCTGGCTCCTGGCTTCAGATCGGTGCAGCGCTGGCCATAGTGGCCATTTGGAGGGTGAACCAACAACGGAAGGAAGACCTTTCTCTCTGTCTCTCTGTCTCACTGTCTAACTCTGCCTGTCAAAAAAAAAAAATTCTAAACAGCAAAGGAAACAACCAGCAGAATGAAGAGCTAGCCTGCAGAATTGGAGAATATTTGTAAACCATATTCTGATAAGGGTTTACCTCCAAAATATATAAGGAAGTCATACAACCCAATAGCAAAAAAATTTAACAATTAGATTAAAAATAGGCTATAGACCTGAACACACATTAAGCCAGAGGGGACAAACTCTCTTTTTGTATTTGTCTTTCAAATAAATTAATAAAAATGTTTTTAAAAATTCTCCCTAAAATTATAAAAAAAATTTATCTAAAAATTTTGAAAACAAAGACAGTAAAATGCTGTCATTTGTCCAAGCTAAGCCTGTTAGGTAGGAAGTCATAAATGAGCTTCTGTGTGTGTGACAAGGGCCTAAGCAATGGACGTCTACAGCAGTACAGCATCTGCACCTCAAAGTCACCCTGATAAGCTTCCAGGTGCAGCCCAGTATTGCACTTCAAGGTCCTGCCCGGATCCTGATGACCTTCCAGGGGTCATGACCTTCCTGCCCCTTCTACCTCATAACCATCCTTCCTCTAAGGCGGGGCGGTGCCAGCCAGGCTTCCCCTGTCTGGTAACTTCAGGGGGAAAACTCAGCAAGGATTTTTTCGTATTTACATCCAACAAGTCCTCTGTTCCAGGAGGAGAAGAACGAGAGGGGGAGGGAAGGCAAGACCCCCCCTAAAAATCCCAGCCTAAATGTGAACTGCTCAGGTCCTGTCTGGAGAGGTGCCCATCCGTTCTTATCAATGTCCCTACCCTTGCTATGTTGCTTTCCCCTGCTCTCTGTCTCACACCTGAATTCTTTCTTGCACGAAGACAAGGCCCCTTTGCTTCTCCAGTAACAAGCCTGTGTGCATTATTCCACACATGTGTGTATCTGGACAACTTCACAATTTTAATTCCTGCTCTAAGTAGCAGCCTCCCGCACGTCACCACCTCAGTGCGTCACAGAGCTGAGCTCCCTCAGGTCCCACTCCCCAAGCCTCTACGTCACACAAAGGCCACCAGGCTCAGAGTCTTAAGAGAATCAGAACCCAGGAAGGCCAGGCCATCTGGCTCTGGCGGGAGTCTGGTCCCTGTGAGGTCCCCGCCAGGATGCCGGACGCGCCGCTCGTCGGAGGGAGGGGCCTCCTACCGTTTCAGCTCATCCCTGCAGGCGTCCAGGCGATACTGCAGTAGCCGCACGTCGGGGCCAGAAGACAGCAACAAGAAGGCGTCCACGAAGTAGAACTGTGCAGAGTGAACAGGCCTGGGAAACACGTCTTTTCCCTGCAAAGCAAACCAGTGACCGCGGCAGTGAGGGTAACGCACAGGCCCTGCCATCCGAGCCCCGAGCACCCATCACTCTGGGCACACGTGCGCTTTGTTAGGGCAGATCTGCTCTCTCCCTTCTGCCTTCTGATGGCTTCTGAAGGTGCGGTAGGACAGAAGTTTTACTGTAAGTCTACTGTCAATCCTAGCCATTTAAAACCTCTCAAAGAAAACTGAAACTAAGCAATGAACATGTTAAGCAGCAAGGATTTTATTACGGCTGGAATTTAAAACCTGTTTGAAAACTTAGTTCTAAGGTTCCGACTTTGAAAACGGACACTGTGCGCACAAGCGAACAGTATCAGCAACTCCAAAACCCACCGCCCCCTGCACACCCTGGAGCGGCCGTGAGAGCCTCCACCCTCACGGAGCCCCCGGCTTCACGCCCTCTGTCTAGGGCTCTTCCTCCAGCCAGGCCCGTAGAGAACAAAAGCTGAGCACATCGGAAATTCCACCACTTCCTACGTTGTGTCTTTCACAATTAACCATCCCATAATTTCACAAATCAAAGCCACTTCTTAGGAACACCTCCTCCTGTCTTGGTGTCAGACTACTGCCGTCTTCCTGTCTCTCCTTCTCCATCCTACTTCCGAATGACCACCCATCAGATCATCAAAACTAGTCATTTTTCTCCCAAAATATTCATGCAGTATCCCTTAGGCCATGACCATTACCTCTGCTATAAAATCACACTAGATTAACATTTAAAATTAACCAAGTACTACAGCATTAATTATTTTCCTGTTTGCTGACCATAACACACATTAGGACATGTAACTGTATGTGTCCACACATGCATGTAGCATGTAGCAAGCGTGCATGTGTACATGTGTGCACATTATGTGGTGAATAACATGAGCACACATGTAAGAAAATATCTGATCAATAACCTTCACTGCAAGCTCCTGATCAGTGTCCATTTCCAAGTCTCCGATTAAGGCAAAAACATGCCCTTGAGAGGACGCTGCAGGACAGCTGTGGGTGGGGAGGGGCCTCATTACCAGCAGCAACAGGAGCTCTGCCCTGCGGAGGGACCACACCCGCAGGGCCCCATCCTGGGCTACAGACAGCAGCCACCTCTGGTCATGGCTCCAGCACACGGTGCTCACGGCTGCATCGTGACCTGAGGGCACAGGGACAAGGAAGAGCAAACAGGGTTACCTGTGTCCCCCGCACGGCATGGCACACCTGCAACTGCAGGTCCCGAGGAACAAACGAGGCACGCGGGGGATCCCCAGCCACAGTGACGCCACACAGAACCAAGTTCAGGGCTGTCGCTCCCCCTCTTCGTGGAGGAACGACACAGGACCCTGCGCTGTTCTCTCGTCTGCTCGGCCCTCCCCGGGTTTGCTGCTGGTTCTTCCCGGGTTGGCTACTATCCCTTCCACCTCCGTGGAAGGGCAGTTCCCCCTGGCCACATTCCCCACTTCCGCAGGGGAGCGGCACACCGCCGGCCGGCTCTTCTCGGGGGCTGCACAGGTGTTCCTTCAGCTAGATGTTCCCCTTAGATGCCCCGGTGCATGCCGTCTCTCTCCTCCTTTATAGTCCTCCTCCGCCAATCCCAACTCGGCTGCCCACACGCCGAGTACGCTGCTCTCCAATCAGGAGCAAGTCCTACAGTTAATTGGTTGAACTGGAGGCAGCTGTGCGGAAGCTGTTTACTTCTCTCCCAGCGCCATATTGTGGGAGAGCAGATGCATAGAATAAGTCTTAATTCCAGTAACTCAGTCCAGTCCGGGCTGCTCCCCACACAGGGCCAGACTCCATTGCTAAGAGATTCCCCTAGTCGTCGTATTTCTTAAAGTAGGAAATTCAAAATTACATGTGCATCTGTGAGTGTCTGTTTCACAAAAATTATAAACTGTAGAATCATAAAACACAGTACAGAAGTCTGTGGATTAAGTAGTATTTTAAAGCCACGATTCTTTTGGGGCCAGCACTGTGGCGTAGCAGGTAAAGCCACTGCCTGCAGCGCTAGCATCCCATATGGGTGGTGGATCACTCCCCAGCTGCTCCACTTCCCATCCAGATCTCTGCTGTGGCCTGGGAAAGCAGTGGAAGACGCCTAAGTCCTTGGGCCCTGCACCCACGTGGGAAACCCGGGGGAGGCTCCTGGCTCCTGGCTTCGGACTGGCACAGCTCCGGCCATTGAGGCCAACTGGGGAATGAACCAGAGGATGGAAGACCTCTCTCTCTCTCTCTCTCTCTCTCTCTCTCTCTCTCTGCTTCTGCCTCTCTGTGTAACTCTTTCAAATAAATAAGTAATAATAAAAAAGTAACTATGATTCTTTTGACATCAAAGGAAAAAGTCAAAAAGCTTTACTGAACACACGTAGGATATAATCATTTCCTTGAGATTTTGACATTTTTATCTGCATTTAAAATGGCTAATTATCTTTTTTTAAAGAATTATTTATTTGAAAGTCAGAGTTACAGAGACAGGGGGGAGGCAGAGAGATCTTCCAACTACTGGTTTCACTCCTCAGATGGTCACAACAGCCAGAGCATGGCCAGTCCAAAACCAGGAACCAGGACCTTCATCTGGGTCCCACGTGGGTGACAGGGCCCCAAGCACTTGGGTCACCTTCCCAGGTCATTAGCAGGGAGCTGGATTGGAAGCGGAGCAGCTGGAACCCAAGCTGGTGCCCATATGGGACGCTGGTGTCTCCGATGATGGCTTAATCTGGCACGCCATATCACCAACCCCTGAAACAGCTGTTCTGACTGCCGACACGGGGTGCTGGCGAGCTCCTTAGCAGTAAACACCCTGAACTGGGAGACGCTGCTGTGCGGCTGACAGCTGGGCTTATTTCCCCTGCCTACAGAGCTTGCCACCCAGCCTCTCACTCCCATGCCAGCCTGACCGGGTCCGGACTCCTGCCTGCCATCCTGCTGCTGCGGGCTGGGGACATGCTGCCTCCTGGGCCTCCGACCACACATCTGCTTTCTGAGCCCGCCTGGCCCTGGAGCCTCAGACATGCCTCAAGCCCAGGGAGCCACTCAAATATGACAGTGCCCCCGGCTGCCAGCCCTGTGTCCCCCGGCTGCCACCCCCTGTGTCCCCAGGCTGCCAGCCCTGTGTCCCCCGGCTGCCACCCCCTGTGTCCCCAGGCTGCCAGCCCTGTGTCCCCTGGCTGCCACCCTGTGTCCCCAGGCTGCCAGCCCTGTGTCCCCTGGCTGCCACCCTCTGTGTCCCCAGGCTGCCAGCCCTGTGTCCCCCGGCTGCCACCCTCTGTGTTCCCCGGCTGCCACCCTCTGTGTCCCCAGGCTGCCAGCCCTGTGTCCCCCAGCTGCCACCCTCTGTGTCCCCCGGCTGCCACCCCCTGTGTCCCCAGGCTGCCACCCCCTATGTCCCCAGGCTGCCAGCCCTGTGTCCCCCAGCTGCCACCCTCTGTGTCCCCCGGCTGCCACCCTCTGTGTCCCCCGGCTGCCACCCTCTGTGTCCCCCAGCTGCCAACCTTTGTGTCCCCCCGCCTGCCACCCTCTGTGTCGCTAGCTGCCCACCCCCTGTGTCCCCGGTTGCCACCCCTGTGTCCCCCAGCTGCCACCCTCGGTTACCTAGGTTGCCACCCCCTAGTCCCAGTTGCAGCCATGTATCCCCAGGTGTAACCTCTGTACGCTGTGCTGGCAGA